ACTCCCCCCTCCCTCATGAACTCTTGATAATTTATAAATTATTATTTTGTCATATCTTGCCCTGTCTGATGTCTCCCTTCACCCACTTTTCTGTTGTTTGTCCCTCAGGGAGGAAGTCACATATAGATCCTTGTAATTGGTTCCCCCTTTCCAACTCACTCTTCCTCTACACTCCCAGTATCGCCACTCACACCACTGGGTCCCCCTTCCCTGGGGGATGGCACAGCACAGCACTGATACCAGGGCACCCCACAAGTCCATTATAAAATTTAAAAATTAAAAAAAAAAACACTAAGAATTCCAGGCTGTTTTCCTCTGTGTAGCTTTGAATGTAAGCTGCCTGAATGTAAATCTTGGTCTATTAGCATAATATTAACATAACAAGACAGGCAGAACCCTAATTCCCAGAGCACAATTTAGGGTTTTGACATAACAAAACAAGAAAAACCAGGGGTTGAAAGCCACAGCCCAAGCCAAAACAAACAAACAAAAAGAAACAGGCTCTATAAGTTTTGGGCTCCATAGAGTCTTTAAAAGATGGCAAATTGGGCCAGACAGTCCAGACCAGGCTTATGACCATGATGCTGGCCCACCTCAACCTGGCCTAGTGGCATACCTATAGTTTCTGGCCTCAGCACACACTCTGAGGCCCCCACCTCCTCCGACCACTGAGTCACCATAGCACCTTGCCTATACAGCAGTCTGACTCACCACTTAGGAGGCCAGGTAGTTCCTGAAACCACACAAGTCACACAGAGAAAGAGCACAGGGCCCCTTGGAACATGGCTCCCCGTTCTTCCAAAGTGACACACAGACAGCAACAAACCTCAACACCCTCAACAAGAAAACAAGAAAAAACAGCAGAAGAAGTCCTAAACCTAACAACACTCATAGAAGAAACAGACAATCTTTAACAAAAAGAAATTTTCAGAATGCTGCTTGAAGAAATACAAGCTATGAGGGAAGCAAGCAGAATAAGCATTAGTGAAGATATGAAAATAATAATTTATAATTTATCAATGGGTCATGGGTGTAGGATGGGGAGGGAGGGAAAAAAGAATAGCTGATACCAAGGGCTCAAATTGAAAGTAAATATTTAGAAAATGATGGCAATATATGTACAAATATGCTTGATATAATTCATGCATGGATTATTATAAGAGCTATGAGAGCCACCAGTGATCTTAAAAAATAATTCACATTCTTTTCAAGTACACATAGCTAATTTTCAAAAATAGACCTCACGATGGGACACAAGTCGAGCCTGAGTAAATTCAAACACATAGCGATCCTTCTCAGACTACCAGGCCATAAAGGTGGAGATCAACAAAAGGATGACCAGAAAGACAAGGGCAAACAATTGGAGGATGAATAATGATCTTCTGTGACACGAATGGGTGCTGGACCAGTGTGTTAGTCTAAGTTGATTGGAGAAACAAATTCATAGACATTCATATGTGTATAAGAATCAGCTTTATATAAAGAGTAATTGTATATTAAGAAAATATCCCAGTCCAGATCAAGTCCATAAGTCTGATATTAACCTATATGTCCAATACCAGTCTACAAATTCCTCTTCAGACTCAAGCAACACATGCAATGATTCTGAATGCAGGAAAATTACAGGCCAGTGGGTGGAAAGTCTTGTGGATCCAGTGGCGGTGGAAGCATCTCACCGCTGCTGTGGATCTCCACGTGACTCCTCCAGCTCTAGGGCTCTGGCTTCATCAGCATAGCTCCATGTGGCTTGTCAACAGGAATGTCTTGCAGAGAAAGTGTGTCCTGTCTCCAGGGAGAAATGCAGGACTTCCCAGAATCCTCAGGAGAAGGCCATGCCCCACCCAGATACTTCATTGGTTATGACCTGATTGACAGGCTAGACTCTACCTCTTTGCTCAAGTTGACAGAAGATTATGTAACTGCAACACCCAGATTAGACAGGAAACAAGGAAGTTTCTAGAAATTAATGAGAATGAGAATACAACATACCAAAACCTTTGGGGTACAGCAAAGGCAGTTATCAGACGAAGTTTGATAATGATTAATGCACATATGAAAATGGAACAGAGTCTTATGACATATGCTATAATAAAACCTCCAGCAACTAGAACAGAGTCAACAGAACAACCCCTTCAATATCAATAGAAAAGAGGGGGTAGCGGGGAGGGAGGGGTGAAAAAGAGGACCTGATGCCAGGGGCTTAAGTGGAGAGCAAATGTTTTGAGAATGATGAGGGCAATGAATGTACAAATGTGCTTTACACAATTGATGTATGTATGGACTGTGATAAGAGTTGTATGAGCCCCTAATAAAACAATTAGAAAATAAATAAAAATTTAAAAATTCTAAAAATCAGGGCAGAGTTAAAAGAGTGGGAAGACAAGAGACTGTAAAAAAGTCAATGCAACAAAAGCTGGTTCTTTGAAAGGGTCAACAGAATTGGCAGACCACTGGCAAACCTAACCAAGGAAAGGACGGAGCAAACATCAATAGCCAGGGTGAGGGATGAAACTCGGGAAATCACAATGGACCCCAGTGAGATTAAAAGGATAATAACAAAGTACTATGAAAGTATATATTCTAATGAATTCAACAATATAGAAGACATGGGAAAATATTATGAAAAACAATCCTTCCTTAGATTATCTGAGATAGAGGTCAAGAATCTCAACAGACCAATAGCACAAGAAGAAATAGATATGGTTATAAAGAAAATACCAATGAAAACGCTCCTCGACCAGACAGCTTCACAAAAGAATTCTACCAAGTATCAGGGAAGGGCTGACATTGATCCTCCACAAATTATTCCAGAGCATAGAAAAAGATGGCAAACTCCCAAACTCATTTTATGAAGCCAGTATAACTTTGATGTCCAAACAGGGCAAGGATCCCACAGGAATAGAGAAATTGACTGATATCTTTAATGAACATAGATACAAAAATCCTTAACAAAATATTGATCAATAGAATACAAAAGTATATAAAACATATCATCCATCATGATCAGGTGGGATTTATTCCAGGGATGCAGGGATGGTTTAAAATCCAAAAGTCCATCAATATTATTTCCACATTGATAAGAAAGAGCATAAGAACCACATGATAATATTGATAGATGTAGAAAAAACATTTGACAACATCCAGCACTCATGTCTAATTAAGACACTCAAAAAGATAGGAATGGAAGGGGATTTCCTCAAGTTAATACAAGCTATTTATGAAAAGCCAATAGCCAACATTATAGTCAACAGAGAAAAGACTAAAACAATCCCACTGAAAAAGGGGACCAGAGAAGGATATCCCTTGTCCCACTTCTATTCAACATTGTACTGGAGGTCCTAGCTAACAATGTAAGGCAGTGGAAGGACAGTAAAGGTATCAGCGGGGAGAGGAGGAGGTGAAACTATCGTTATTTGCAGACAACATGATTCTATACATTGAAAACCCCAAAAGCTCCACCATAGGAGCACTGGCAGCGATGGAGGAATATGGAAGGGTGGTAGGATACAAAATCAACCAATAGAAGTCTA